CTAAAATCGATTAGAGTAGGCTTCGGCCGCCACCCGGGCAAAACTCAAAATTTCCTACCAACGAAAAAGTATTAGGTGTGTCCCGCGCGCTCATATGACCTTATGCAGTTGCGAGCGCCGTAAAACCCTATACTAAACAAACAAACATCGCTGTAGGTGTTGATGTCATTATCGTTGTTGTTGTAGTCGTTAATGTCATTATCGTTGTTGTTGTTGTTAATGTCATAATCATTGTTATTGTTGTTGCTGTTGCCATTATCATTGTTGTTGTTGTCATTATCGTTGTTGTCTTTGTTATCGTTGTTACCGTTATCATTGTTGTTGTTGTTAATGTCATAATCATTGTTATTGTTGTTGCTGTTGCCATTATCATTGTTGTTGTTGTTGTCATTATCGTTGTTGTCTTTGTTATCGTTGTTACCGTTATCATTGTTGTTGTTGTTGTCTTTGTTATCGTTGTTACCGTTATCATTGTTGTTGTTGTTGTCTTTGTTATCGTTGTTACCGTTATCATTGTTGTTGTTGTTAATGTCATAATCATTGTTATTGTTGTTGCTGTTGCCATTATCATTGTTGTTGTTGTTGTCATTATCGTTGTTGTCTTTGTTATCGTTGTTACCGTTATCATTGTTGTTGTTGTTATTGCCATTACGGTTACCATTGGTGTCATAATCGTTGTTGTTGTTGTTCTCATTACCTTTGTTATCCTTGTTGTTGTTATTGTTGTTGTCGTCGTCCATATTGTAATCCACGTCGTGAGTGGGTGGTTGGCGGGTGCTCTGGTGTGGTTTGCTCCTTCTTTCCTATTAAAAAAAGAATCTATCGTCTCTCTCTCCCCTCTTTCTTTCTGATGCTTGTTACTCTCTTGTAACACACCTCTAATCTTCGACACTTTTATGACGTTATTGTGTTGCAAATGCCTTAAAACTCTTTCTATAAATAAAATTCCACGTCGTGATGTCGCCGTGGTAGCAATCGCTGTTGTTGTAAGTGGTGATGTAGTATGCAGACGGATGTGACCCCTAGGCGCTCATATGACCTTATTATGCCGTTGCGACCTCCGTACCACCTTTACTAAAACTACGATGATATAATATAATGTCGACGACAGGGATGATGGGTTTTGCACGATCTGTCTGTCTGTCTGTCTTTATTTTTCCCTGGCTTTAAATGTTATTGTAATGTGTCGATGTGTTTTTCTTGACTCAAACATAATCAAACAAAACAAAATGTTACACTCTGTAATAAGCAAACAAAAAAAATGTTTACACTCTGTATTCCTCTCTGATTGTTCTCTCTGTTCGGTCTCTCTCTCTCTCTCTTTCTGTGTGTGTGTGTGTGTGTGTGTGTGTGTGTGTGTGTGTGTGTGTGTGTGTGTGTTTCTCTCTTTCGTTCTATTTCTCAATCTTTGTATCTCTCTGTTTCTCCGTCTCTTTCATTAAGAGGCCAAGCATAATGAACGTCTTCCTAATTCCCTTCAAATCAAGAGATACAAATGCGTTTCTTTCTGCTTTCCTCACTCTGTCTCTCTC